AAGCCAGTCCTATTTTATGGTGCTGAGGTGTGGGGTTTTTTACAAGCAAACCAAATTGAAAGGGTGCATACAATGTTTTGCAAACGAACATTAGGTGTAAAAGTAAGCACACAAAATGATTTTATATACGGCGATCTTGGAAGAACTGATCTATATAGTCTTAGAATTGTGTACATTATAAAATATTGGTTGAAAGTAACAAGCAGCCCTGAAAATAAATATATAAATTATATATATAAAATGATGTTAAATGACATTGAAAATCAACCTCAAAAATCAAATTGGGCTTCATGTGTTAAGAATATTTTATCCAGACTAGGTTTTTATCATGTTTGGCTAGCGCAGGGAGTAGGAGATTTTAACATATTTGTACAAATTTTTAAGCAAAGAATAAAGGATGTTTTTGTACAAGGATGGCAAAGTAGGATTGATATCTCAACAAGAGCTACTTTTTATAAATCTATATGTAGTTTTGGTTTTCAACCATACCTTAAAATACTTAATGTTAAAAAATATAGAAATGCATTATGTAGATTGAGAGTATCCTCACATCGATTAAATATAGAATGTGGCCGATGGAATAGAACTGTAAGAGAAAATAGACTTTGCATATCGTGTAATAAATTAGAAGACGAATTTCATTTCCTTTTTGAGTGTAACATGTATGACACAATTAGAGATAAATATATAAATAGATACTTCAGAGTTCGACCAAGCATGTTTAAAACCATAGAATTGTTTTCATCAGAAAATGTTAAAGTAATAAGAAATTTATCTGTATATGTATACAAAGCATTTGAAATAAGAAGATGTAGATATAATATTTAGATAGTATAGTGTTACATTCTTTAATAATTTTATTGATTGCACATGGTTGAACCGCGGTAATAATGTATTAGAAGTAAAAATATCATGTGTGGTACACAAATGTATTTATTGTATGTATATACGTACGTATAGAAAATAGTTAATAAAAATAATACCAAAAAAAATAAGAAGATGCAAAATAATGTTTCATACGTAGTTTATGTTTTATATCAATCTTGATGAACATTTTAAGATTCAATTATGAATAAAAACGAATATTTAAAATAGTCACTTTTTAAGAAAAAGTCTGACACATTCTTTTGTATTAGATATTTTGAAATGTAAGGGAAGTAATTACAAATCAAAAGCATTCAAATCTTGTAAGAGTAATGTTTCTTGCATCTTACTATTTTCACATATATCTTGTTTACTTTACTGACAGATTTATTGTTGACTAATGCCAATATCAAGTCAAAAGTATATATACCAAAATGTGACTATGAGCTATAATAGCTTTGTCAATTGTGTATTGTGCGATTTATGAAAGAATAAAGCTTCTTCTTCTTCTTCTTCTTCTTCTTCATGCTACCTGATTGACCCTGTCCGCTCTTTGCCCTATTTTTGCGGACAATATAAATATATAGAGAAAAAGCGGACGATATAGATATAGAGGAAAAAAGCGGGCGCTATAGTTATAGTGTAGAATGATGTGTGAGATAAAATTATAATAAAATAGATAATGATAGTGTAAAGTAATATTGTGCAGTAAAAACGAAGATAAAGAATGAACTTCATTGCAATTTTATTTAAGCAATATAACACATTCGGTACAACACATTCGGTACATGAATTTATTTTACACATACAAATAATAATATCAATGTAACAACTTAATATATGTATATAGCTATAAAGAATATAACAATCACATATTTTAACAAAATTACATAGACAATAATTATAAATATTAATAATTGTATCACTATATTGTTTCCTTTTACTTAAAGTTTTCTTAGTTAATGGAAATTCCGTCATTTCTTTTCGTTCAAAACAATTTAACAAATGTCCACGGATTTTATTGGAATCGTAAATAAGATCTGTACAAAGACGTTTACGTAAACAAAAAGAAGTAATAAAAGCAATTGCATACAATCCACAATCTACACTATTATTTTGTTTGATAACATTTGGTCGTGACTGTGCAGGTTCGAGTGGAAATTTACAACACCATCTTTTTCTAGTTCATTAAAAGCGGGCACTTTCTCGGTTAGCTGCAACCCACCTATTTCGCCCATAGTTTGTTGTCGCAACATTATATTTACATATGGTTTGAATTCAGTTTCTTATTATTAAGTCAATTATGTCATTTTCCGTGAGGCCCAAATCTCTGTCCCAGTAAATTAATTATATGCATGGTAGAAGCCAGATATTTTTTTATCTATAACAGTTTTCTATTCTCCCGTTCTATACATTTATTTCGTCAGGTGACACGTGGATACTTTCATTAGTTGATTGGTATTTATAGCAGAAAGTTTCTTTTATTTACTTAATGGATAAAATATAAATAAAACTAAAAAATATTATGAATTAAAGAAAGTTAATTGATATAGATTAATTATATACATGGTAGAAGCCAGATATTTTTTTATTTATAACAGTTTTCTATTCTCCCGTTCTATACATTTATTTCGTCAGCGTTTTCCTTCTATATCTATATCGTCCGCTTTTTCACTATATGTCTATATTGTCCGCATTTTCTGTAGCCACTTTATTAATTGTACAAGGGTGAGATGTATGATTACTTGAAATATACAAGTGTCGGTGCGTGATTAAGTCAAATACACAGGTGACACGTGGATACTTTAATTAGTTGATTGGTATTTATAGCAGAAAGTTTCTTTTATTTACTTAATGGATAAAATATAAATAAAACTAAAAAATATTATGAATTAAAGAAAGTTAATTGATATAAATTAATTATATACATGGTAGAAGCCAGATATTTTTTTATTTATAACAGTTTTCTATTCTCCCGTTCTATACATTTATTTCGTCAGCGTTTTCCTTCTATATCTATATCGTCCGCTTTTTCACTATATGTCTATATTGTCCGCATTTTCTGTAGCCACTTTATTAATTGTACAAGGGTGAGATGTATGATTACTTGAAATATACAAGTGTCGGTGCGTGATTAAGTCAAATACACAGGTGACACGTGGATACTTTAATTAGTTGATTGGTATTTATAGCAGAAAGTTTCTTTTATTTACTTAATGGATAAAATATAAATAAAACTAAAAATATTATGAATTAAAGAAAGTTAATTGATATAAATTAATTATATACATGGTAGAAGCCAGATATTTTTTTATTCATAACAGTTTTCTATTCTCCCGTTCTATACATTTATTTCGTCAGCGTTTTCCCTCTATATCTATATCGTCCGCTTTTTCACTATATGTCTATATTGTCCGCGTTTTCTATTTCGACTTGATGAAATATGGTATAAAGTATCAATTTTAATAATGTGACAAAGTCATTCACACTTAATTGTAATGCTTTAAGTTAATTTGCAACACGTGTATTTTCACCGGTAAACGTTAATTTTCAAAAATATACTCATTCGCCCACTATTTCATAATTATATATGTACACAAAAGAAGATTCGGCTAATATGTCAATTAATGTGCAATATAGAAACAAAAGTAAATTACAAATCATAGTAAATTGTATATTTTGAAAAGAATGTCAATCTACACTATATATCTATATCGTCCGCTTTTTTCCTCTATGTCTATATTGTCAGCGTTTTCCCTATATGTTTATCATGTCGACGATCCGCGAATTGCGTATGCAAAGTATTCAAATATATTCAAACTTATTTGTTGTGCCCTTATTCAGTTTTCCGCACGTGACTGTTGCATGTTTTGTACTGTTTAATTAAAAGTTATTAAGTCAACTAACATGAACAAATAAAAAACATAAATTTAAGAATTTGAACAAATATATAAACTAAAGTCTTTTTTAATTATTATAATAATTACACCTTTCAGATATTACTTTATAAAAGCCAATTATTAGCCTTTAATATGAATTTAACTATGCTCAGTCATTTTACACTATATATCTATATCGTCCGCTTTTTTCCTCTTTGTCTATATCGTCAGCGTTTTCCCTATATGTTTATATTGTCCGCTTAAGGCGTCCGCGTTTTAGACTGCGCCTCAATAAACACCCGCGCCAAACACGTGCACGATATGTAGCTAATTGCTAACGATTTCCGCGTATTTGATTGCTGGCTCCATTTGTTAATATCATTTGCTTTTGATTAAATGTACAATGTATGCACAACAATTTTTACAAAATTACACTTTAATAAATGAAAGTGGGTGAATTCGATGCCGCAATTGAGATCATGGACCATGTAGTTAAAAATCTTCTTTTTTTGCAAAATATCCCTGTTGTGCGAACGAATTTTCCGATTTGAAATTTGCTTTTTTACATATTATTATATTATTAGTAGTAGTAAACTTAAACTAAACAATTATATGGAAATATAATCTCCGTTGCACTGAAAATGTGCCCATTTCGCCGTCATGTAAATATCATTTAGATTTATCCTATTTTCAACAATAAAGGAAAGTAAATCATATTTAAAGGCTATTATTTATTATTCTCAAGTTGTATTACTTACATCACGATTTTAAGTTATCTTTAAACATTATACCCATTATACAAATCTTTATTTTCCGTTGCTCAGAAATTATGTCCATTAATTTGACCGTTCATTTAGAATCTGATATATTCACTACCTAATCAAATTAAACATATACAATATATGTTACAACTATAACCAATACCAACAAAGTTATGAAATGTATTACAACAATACAATGAATGCTGCGGTATAGATGGATACCGAAAATAAGCTATTTTCGCGAAAATAAGATCGCCACTACTATGAATGGTGGTAATAAAAACTTGATTTTAGTTTGTATCTAGTTCTGTATCTTCAAAATATGACTTTATTCCTCACATACTTATGCAAATTCAAAAAATGCATTGCTACAAATCGTATTTTAATGCTAAATTTTAAATCTTGCACTCCGTTGCACCCATTGTGCTCGTTGCGCCAAAATATCTCCATTGTGTATTTTAGTGGTACCAATCGACGAGGTGTTCCGAGTGCAAAGAAAGAATACTCTTCACAAACTAAAACAAAAAATATCACGGTAAATCAAGGCGCCGATTACAAATGTGTAAAATGATTTGATAACGCATTTTTACTGATTTGTGGAACACGTATGTATTTTAGAAGCAGTGAGACAGATATTTCTACTGACCTTTAATTTCGAAAAAATTACGCTGTTAGCTAAAAGGTACTGAAATTAAATAGATGATTCGCCACATAATTTATTAATTACTCGCTCCAATTTTAGTTGGAGAATAATTTCAGAAGGCGAAGCTATAGTGGAACCCCGATAAACACTTTCAGAACTAGCAGAAGACAGGCTATTCTTATCAGTAGTATTTCGAGTAAAGATAATGGGTGGCGCATCTCCCAGTAATATGAAATTAGGCAAAGCCTATGAACGGGGAAGTCGTTAAAAAATCCTTTCATTCTTTCCGTTTTAAAGGTGTCATTCGATATTACATACACCGCTTCCGTTTTCACTCGGATCACTCGACGATTATTACTAATCCGAAAAGTTGAGATTTGTTCCGTTATCGGAATACCCCGCCTTTTATCATTGACATACATTGTAAATGGCGACGCCCGGCTAGAACTGACACTGAAATTTTCATTGATAGGTATAGAATTCTATATATTTCTTAATTGTTTTTTATTTGATTTTCTTTTAAATATTCACGTGTAGTCTATAGCCGGGCAAGCCAAAGCTCGGACCCGCTTCGCGGGCCCGGTCTTTAACTTCCCCGTATAAATCGTATGTAAAATGGTCTGACCATAGGTGTTCGGTGCTTTGACCTGGCGCCCCCCTCACCCACTCTACAACCCTTTTACCTCTCAAAACCATGTAAAATTTAGCATTTTTCATTTGAAACATGTTTTAATATTTGGTACATGCTTTTAATTCAATTACCTTCATTTCTCACAAAAAATAAAAAATTGATATAGATCTATATATTTAGCAAAGGTATGCAACTCGCAGCTCATTTTTCCAGCACTCCTCTTAATATGAACTCCATAACTCAAAGATTTTTTCACCAATTTTCAATATCTTGGTACCAAATGATAGGGAATTGATTACTCTTAAAGGAAATAGTTCAAATACAGCTGTCATTGCAATCATTTCAAGTTATAAGATGATATGTAATCTCGAAGTCATCGCAAGCGTAACTCGACAGAGACGTGACCGCTTGGTTTTTTTCAAAATTACCCAACTAAATGGCAGTTTATTCGAAATGAATGAATATTTTTTGTATTGCGCATATATATATGATCAAATTATATTATTATTTGTAATGACTGTTCAATCAAAACATGATATAAAGTTATAACAAACCGTTTGTTCCTATTTGCCAAATTCTCCAATCAGAAATGAAAGTACACATGTTTAAACGGATGCATTCGTATGGGGTATTTTCATTGGTCGTGTGAAAAACCTTTGACCAATGAAAATACTCTGTACAAAAAAAATAAAGAGGAGATCACTCTGCAGGACCATTTAACTTGGATTACGATTTGGAATTTGACATATCGGGAAAACGGTTTGTAAATGTAAATGCTATAACAAAAGGATCAAAATAAATTATTTACAATAAGGATTAAGGGAAGTTTTATCTCTTTTAAATAAGATGTGAGTATCTAGATGGATACAACGGGGTTTCAGGCTTCCAAAGATCTGGAAACATAGTGATCCATCAAAAGCATTAATCACAACAAAATTACATGAAAATTGCAGACTCGGTTTGATTGTGTCTGTACATGAGGGATACTGATTAAATGCAACATCTCTCATGGCCCCTAGCACCGGCCTGATCGTTACTAAATTCTCAACACTTAATAGTGCTGGCATCAATGATCCCAAAGGACCAGAAAAATATAACAACACTGAAGTGAAGTAAGGGGCAACTTTTTACAGCTGCCACACATCACTTGACACCTGCTGTTGTGAAGTATAAAAATCTGTAAACATAGTGATTCCTCGAAAGCATTAATCATAACAAAATTACAGTTGTCATTGAGTCTGTACATGAGGGGTAATGATTAAGTGCAACACCCCACATGCCCCCTAGCCTAAAATCCATATTTTATAATCCTAACCCTAACCCACAAACCCTAACCAATAACACTAACCCTCATCTGTAACCCAAAAAGTAATTTGATTTTGAGTTGTTTTTAGGTAAGGAAGTGGCTAGTCATACTAGTCCTTAGGACTAGCCAAAGTTCTAGTTGTACGGAATCACCAGGACACACTAGCGGTACAGCACTTTTCACAGTAATATGAAAATCAAAAATGCATGTGATATTTCATGTCATTAAATGAGGATTTTAAATAAACCAAGAAACAGCAATTGTCTTCGTATGAATCATCCTGTTTGCCACTGTCAGGGATTTACCGAACACTTGATCCTGTGTCATATACGCATAAAATGCCATCCTGTACGCACAAAAAAAATAAATCCTGCTTACATATGGACGCAGAAAAATTGTCTAAAGTACCGGTTACTGTAATTTTCATATTTTAAAATAAATACTTACATGTAGTACCATGGGCACACAAAAATTGTTTGTCATATTTTAGTAAATTACATACTGATTGGCCATAACTAATAGATGACCCCTATTGATTTTGGGGTCATTAGGGCAGAGGTCAAGGTCACTGGGATTTTAAATGTCAAAATGGTTTCCGCTTATTATCTAGAAAACTATTTATCACAAAGTCTTCATATTTCACATATTGATTGTTCATAACTATTAGATAACCTCTATTGATTTTAGGGTAACTATGTTTAAGATAAAGGTCACAGGGGCCTTAAATGTCAGAATGGTACAAAGTCTTCATAAAAATGATATTTCACATATTGATTGGTCATAACAAGTAGATGTCCGCGAATGATATTGGGATCACTATGTCAAAGGTCAAGGTCACAGGAGCCTTAAATGTCAGAATGGTTTTTGTCATTATCATGAAAACTATTTATCACACATGAAAACTATTTATCACACAGTCTTCATATTTCACATGTTTATAAGTCACAATGGGGTCACTAGTTCAAAAGTCAAGGTCTTTATATTTCATATATTGATTGGTTATAACTAGTAGGTCATTATTTTTCTTTTTTCCATAACTGAACACTTCCATGTACCCATTTATGGTAAGTTACAAATTACCTTATGTGTTGTTTGACATTTCTTGTTATATTTAATTTGATAAAAATCGGTTTAATTATAAATAAGAAGTATCTCCAATCCATTCAGCAAATAAGTATGTACATTATCATACATCATAATAATTTCTTTTTTATTTATTTTTAGATACACAATGCGGGCACAATGTATTATTTGTCAGGAACTGTTTGAGAATGATGATCAGGTATATATATATATATATATATATATGTAGGAGTCAGTCCTGGGGTCAAAGTCACTGTTACTAAAAATAGAAAAATGGCTTCCAGACAATTACTAGATATTTGCTAAGAATGATATTGTAGAGGTAGTTTATGCACACATTTTTATAAGGTCAGAAGTTTTAAAAGACAAATGCCTTCAGACTATGTTGTCATGACTATCAACAAAGCATTTTGTAGATTTTAACCAAGCTTTACTGAAATTATCTACAGATGGACTTAATAGTTATACAATGTGATAATGATTTATGATATATAAATAAAATATTGAAGTTTTGACACGTTATACAGATTGCATGTAATAATGTATAGTTGATATTTGAGGTATTTGTTTGCAGGTGATATCGGCAATAAGTTGTGGTCATACATTTCATAATCATTGTTTAAACCAGTGGTTAGAGAATGGTAGGACGTGCCCTAGCTGTCGTGTACAGGTTGATAAGAGAAAGATCATCGAAAGGTATTATTAATAACATCACTATATAACAGTGATGAATATGGTACTTTAGTTGTGACAGATCTATTGATAAAGGATATATGGTAATTTAGTGGTGACAGATCTATTTGTTAAGTATATGGTAAGTTAGTGATGATAGATCACTAACAGAACAGGGAGAAACCCCCCCCCCCCCACACACACACACACACACAGAACTTGTTTTCTAAATTTTGACAACCTCATTTATGTTTGCAAGTTCAGACTTAGTAGCATTTTTGTGCCAATTGCAAAAGACAACTGCTCTGACACACCTTGTGCTCCTTATAAGGTTTCTAACATAGGTAAACTGCTGACCTGTCAATGTACCTCTGTTAAGCATAACAAGGTCAGTCAGTCCATCCTAGCTGATCCTTCCCATCACCATAACAGACCCACCCTACAGCATTCAGACTCAACAAAATTTCCAGCATGAAACCTTTGCCCAGGTCTAATCCAGAGTCTGGCATGTCTGTCAGTAAAGTTTAGGCTAAACCTAGACTCGTCAGTGAAGACAACATGTCTCCAGTTTTGCCTGGCCACCTAACATTTCTGGTGGTCACAATGAGTAAATGGAATTCTTATACAGGGTCTTCTTAATTGCAGATTAATTTATGTTAACCCTTCTGTCATTCTATCTTCTATCTACCATCTGCATTGTTTTTGCAAACCGTCCTTGATGGGTCTGGATAATCGAGAATTAATTTTTAGTTGTTGTCGTCACCTATTTACTGCCTCTGCCATGCCCACATAAAAAATTGTCTGCTCCCACATCAGAAAAATGAGAGATTCATGCTTTCATGACCATGTGGCAAAATCTACCCAAGAAAATATCTAGCAATTATGTTCGGGGGCCACCTCAAAACATTGCTAGTGTATTTGTAAACTAGAGCCTTATTTTAAAAAGTTCAATACTGTGTAATAAATGTTTCAAGTCATTTGATGATACATGTATCTATATTATATGAGTGTACTTACAGGTTATATTTTGATGCACCTGAAGATAATGACGGTGTTGTAGATGATGGAAAACTGCAAAATGAGATAGATAGACTTAAATTGGAGGTAAATGATATGTTGATTAAAATGAGATAAACAGAATTATGTTGGAGATGAAATATATATATTGTTTAAAATGAGATAAACATACTTATGCTGGAGGTAAATTGTATTGTTTTAAATGTGATAAACATAGTATTACTTATGTTGGAGGTAAATCATATTGTTTCAAATGAGATAAACAGACTTAAATTGGAGGTAAATAATATAATAATTGAAATGAGATAAACAGAATTGTGTTGGAGTTAAAATATATATAGTGTTTAAAATGAGATAGACAGACTTATGTTGGAGGTAAATTATATTGTTTCAAATGAGATAAACATACTTATGTTGGAGGTAAATTATATTGTTTCAAATGTGATAAACATACTTATGTTGGAGGTAAATTAAATTGTTTCAAATGTGATAAACATTCTTATGTTGGAGGTAAACTATATTGTTTCAAATGAGATAAACATACTTATGTTGGAGGTAAATTATATTGTTTCAAATGAGATAAACATTCTTATGTTGGAGGTAAATTATATAGTTTCAAATGTGATAAACATACTTATGTTGGAGTGATATAGTTTCAAATGTGATAAACATACTTATGTTGGAGGTAAATTATATAGTTTCAAATGAGATAAACATACTTATGTTGGAGGTAAATTATATAGTTTCAAATGTGATAAACAGACTTATGTTGGAGGTAAATTATATAGTTTCAAATGTGATAAACATACTTATGTTGGAGGTAAATTATATAGTTTCAAATGTGATAAACAGACTTATGTTGGAGGTAAATTATATAGTTTCAAATGTGATAAACAGACTTATGTTGGAGGTAAATATTATTTAGTTTAAGATAAGATAGATAAACTTAGAATGGAGGTAAGTATTGTGTAAGTAGCATTTTATATAGTTAAGATAGTCAGACATAATCTTTAGGATAATATAGTGGTGTATACTTCAAAAAGAGTAAGACAGAATTACACTGGCAATCATTTATAGATACATATATATAACCAGAAAATACAAGACATTTTTCTGGTAGGAATTATACATTGAAGTCTTGAAAATTAGACAGGCATAAACTGGAAATAGATTGTAAATATAAAATAATGTATTGAATTTCGGTGCAGTTATAAGGTAACCTATATGTACTTGTGCATTTTATTATGTGAATTATTGTGCTTTTATGCAGGTAAATTGTTTAAATATGATAAATTGATTGTTTGTATGTGATAGATAAAGGTACACTTATTAGGTGTATTATGACATAGTTGTGAAGAGAAAAAAACCTGGTGCATTTATAGTAAATTTGGTACATTTAATACGTAAATTGTAATGAAAATTTATCAATTCACTTATGGTGTTCTTCATTTAGTAAATTATGTTGTAACAGGTAAGAAAACGAGACAAAGAAAAAAATGATATAGTGAAGGAAAAGGGGAAACAAGATGATAGGATTGAGGAGCTACAGAAAGCTAGAGATAGAATGTCTAAACTGCTGAAAGAGGAACAGACTAAAGTCAGTGCTCATCTAAAGACGATGAAGTATTACGAGAGCCAACAGAAATCACTGGATCTGGAACGACAGGAGTACCGTAAAATCAAACAGAAATTAGTGACACTACAGAGCCTTGAAGTCCTGCTTAATGGTTTGATTTTATTTTTATTTATTGACTTTTCATGTGTACACATTCTGATCAAAATTTTCAGGTTGTTGTTGGTTGTGAATCCAGCTTGGCTGCTGTTAGTGGATAGGTACTTGTATGGTTTTTACCCGAACAAGCGTAACTTTACACCAGGTTAATGGACTAACTACCGAGTCATCTATACGTCTTTTAGAAAATTTAAATATTTTTCAAACCAATAGAAAGCTATTACATGCACTTGGCAGAGATGTTGACCATATTGAAATGATATGCAGAGCGCAGGTTTGACCTTCCTCAGGTCAAGGTCACAGTCAAAATGTATGAATTTCAAAATTTCTTGTCTGCTCGTTATCTTTTGAACCAATTTAAACTTTTTGGCAGAAATCTTATAATGAGATGATATGCAAAATGCATGTTAAGATTTCCTTAAGGTAGTACACCCCTAATGCACTATCTCCACTTTGAAGAGTATTCAAATAGGCTAGAATCACTGTAAATTGTATTGGAACTGAGGGGCATGGGTTCAAACCCCGGAAGGGGCAACTTTTTTTTTCTTTTTTACATTTTTTATTAACATCTCAGATCCCTAATGCAAGAAATAAGTGTGTCATTTTAATTGCATAATTTTTTTAGGTATTTTTTTTTACTAAATAATGCCAAATTTAATAGCAAATATGATACCAGATATTTTCAAAGTTTAAGAAAATTTAGGCAAACTTTGAAAACAGCCCCTCATTGTGGAAAATTTTAGGGATATTTTAAATAAGGCTTTTTACACAGGGAAATGGTCAAATAAGTGTTAAAAGTGGGTGGGGTAGGGTTACATTTTTATACAAAAACATTTCGTTTAAAAACAATCAGTTTGCTTGTTTAATTTGTTACCTAAATGCCATTATTTGTTTCTTAACAATGAGCAATAGAAAAACATTTTTCATAATGATGATATTATATAGATTATTTAGAGTTTCCTCATTTCTGAAAAAAAAGCGCTTCTAATGGTAAAGTTTTAGTTCAGAAAAATGTCCATAACTCATAAACCACATGGTAAATTTTGTTTAAACTTTGCATACATGTGAAATTTAAGGTATATAACTGTCCTATGTTGTCAATTTTACAGTTCCTTAAAGTGCCCATTAGCGGTGTTCTACCTTAAATCAAAATGTGTTTTAAATTAGGATAGCCAGGGATTAGATATTTGGCATGTAGCATTGTAGGCTTTGCTAAATGTGTCACACAAAAGTTATATTAATCATGACCTAGAAGTCAAAGTTCATCCTGCCCTGGAGGTCACTTGCTTCATGTAGACTAATGTATAGGAAAACACATCAGATATTTTTTGTGGAAAAAATTCAATGCCTAGAGCTTAGATATTTGGCACGAGTATTTATTGTTTGATAGACCTCTACAAAAGTTTTATGAATCATTCACATGAGGGATAATGCCCTAACCATGGTGGTCATTTAGTAGCATAAGAATAAGTAAGATAAACCATTTTTCAGACAAGTTTCATGTATGGGTGTCTTCTCTAATTGAAAGATTATTGTAGGTGTTGGTATTTTTACATTAAAGTTCATTTTGCATACTAATTGACTACTGCTGTTCATTTTAATTTACCTACAAAACACATTGTCCCATTTAGAGCACCTGTCATATCAGTTTGGATGTCCACCTTGCCAAAAAAATTAAAAATGCATATGATTGGAATTAACACTTTCATACACTGCACAAATTCCATTGTCTAAGATATTGTTAACCATTATATCTGAGGTGTTTACATAGATGTTATAAGTGTAATCAAACCTTAATTAAGTGTGCAATTGTCAGGGATTGATTGTAAACAAGAGTGCGTTTGTTTCTAGACCATAAAAAAGCGAATGTTTGATATTTGACTCTCAAATTTTATACTTGACCTGTCAGACCAACATTTGCAAATTTTAACTTGCATGGTAAAATATTGTAACTAAGTCTTCTCATCAATGTAAATTTTTAACTCCTGTGAGCTTATGTTTACTCATTTCATCTGTGCAACAAACTTACTTGAATGATCAACAAGTCAAAATAAACAAATTAAACAGATTTTTTAAAAGGGTTTTGCATGCTTTCCACACCTTTGGCTACCTTTAAGGTCTTAATAACCTTGTGTATTGTACTTGTCAACTGTTGTCATGGAAATTGCACATGTTAAATTCATTTGTGATAGGTGAAAAAAAAAATTCCTGGGGGTGGTGGGTGAGGTTTAGTCAAGACCCATGAGTGTTATAATGAGCCTTTTTGTTTTATCCGGGGACAGTATACTGTTGGTTAAGAAGAAAGAATAAAATGGACTTATCCATAAAAAAAAGGGGAGAGCAGAGACGATATTAAATTTTATAGAGTTAATTGCGGCAAATTTTGTATTGGTGTAATTGGGAGATTACCATATTGTTATATACTTACAGGCTCTTGAAAAGGGTGTGAGACACGATCGTGGAAATAATCTTACCATACATGTAGCACATGTTTGCATTACTATGTGGTATTTTTAGCAGTACCTTATGTGTTGCAATACCATGCGGTATATTTACTAGTTTAGTGAAAGCCATATTAGTAGTATGGGTTGCAATGCTGTATGTTATATTTAGCGATAGCAGAAAACCTGTATAGAATTGGAGATGTTTTCAGGGTGGTTTTCCTAGTCAGTTTCTACAATAAATCAAATACACTCTATGTGACTCAAGGCCTTTAACTCCTGCCGTCTTATTACAGTCAATTAAGTTTTAAGTTGCTGCCCTTTATTTAATGATGAATTCATATACCATATTCTTTAATTCACAAGCTTATTTAAACCTGAAAATACCTACTTGTATGTAAAATCCTTTACATACTACACAAGTTATTTCCCCTGAGTGTATAAATACTGTGTAACATTTCTATTGATGAATGAATGATAGAATTCTTGGTGGTGGGAGGAATTTTATAATACTGTGCTCATTAAAGTTTATATATGCATCTGAGTGCCTGAGATATATATTAATATTAAAATGAAAAAAGAGTTGCTAGTCCTTCCATTAGAAGATAAATTTTTGTAAATTATTTATCATAAATTCTTTTTTTTTTTTTTTTTTTTTTTTTTTGAGGCCCCAACTGGGTAACCCCGTTTATTTACCCCGTAATAGGTATGAGAGGGTCGGGGTCATCCCTCTGATACCTTACATGATATATACATAATATTTAAATCATCATCTATAATAATATTTTTTATATAATTATAATATACATTATATTCAAACATTCAATCAATTTTCATATAATATGTATAACAATTATGTATGATAATGTATTATGCAACAGCTTCAAAACAAACAAAGAATATTGGTTTGGGGTAAATTGATTTAGTGTAGCCTTTTAGTTTATTAAAGTTCTTACAATTTGCCATCCTTCATTTACATGTTTGGTCAAATTTGTATTTTTGTAAATATTCCACGCCAATTTAAGACTATTTCTAAAACCAGGTATTGTAGGTAACACGATTTTTTTATCATAAATTCTTGTAAATTATTTATACAGTAGAACTTCTATTAGTCGAACTTCGATTAGTCGATTTTCTCGATGTGTCGAAGAAAAATGAAAGTCCTGACTTTTTCCCCTATATATTCTTTATAAAAACCTACTTATGAGTCGAGATTTTATGTGTAGAATTTTTCGATGTGTCGAACTTTTTTCGTGGTCCGTATAAAGTAAATCTAGTGCAATTTACCACAAATAAGTCGAAGTCGTTCGATTATTTTGACACCTTCCATCTCGAGACATTTTTCACACCTTATTTGGCTGCGAAGACGATTTCCAATCACTTTGTATGACGGGTGTTAATTTCACAGCCGTGTGTTCAAACCGCCTTTGTTTGCGATAAAATGTGTGATAAAATGCTTTAATCATTACTATTTTAATTGCCGCAGTGGTAAGTGAAAGTAAACAGTAAGAACTACTTTCATTTGAAAACATCCTTGACCCGGTGCCACGTGAGAATAACACGCGAAATATTTACATTAAGCTGGTTTAGTTATCGCCCTTTCGTATTGTTACGCCTTTTATAACTCTATTGTATACGTCAACGGGTAGTCCAAATAATTAGCATAATAATAATTATTTAACATGCTATATTTATCATTGTAAAATGTAAACAGCAGATTAATGATGGAAAAACATGAAATAGGTTTCGTTATAGATCTTATAATTAGGACTAGTCACAGGTCGAAATTTTGTCATAGAATTGAGAGCTATTTATGAGTCGAAGTCCCGATGTGTCGAAGTTTTTACGCAAGTCCCTTTAACTTCGACTTACCGAAGTTCTACTGTACCTGTGACGCTTTATTAACTTTTACTTAAAGTTCAATTAACCACTAGGAAGACAAAAATTCAAGAATTATATTTCATAACGCAGCAAGCATATCCCCAAATCAAGTTGAAATTTTCATGTAGGGAGGTATCTCATAAAAAGGTCAGCAAATATACCAACAGTTATATGTTAGCTCACCCAAAAATGTTCACAATTCTTAGTTTGAATATTCGAAGAACTGAGAGAAACTCACCCTGCATTGGTGCCACAGACACACTTTGGTGAAGTTTTTGTGTGCAAGTTGATATCTTCAAAACTACTGACGGGAATGGGTTGAAACTTTACACACTTGATCTCTGTGTTACCTATTTGACAGAGTTATGCCCCTTTTCTTTTTGTCAGGCACTGAGAATAGTTGAGCATGCTGTCTGTTAAGAATTTTACATATTGTAAATGATATAGGTTATCTAGAATTGAAGTCTAACTTGTAAATTGATAGGTGACAAGATATCCTATATATAAATGTATGTCACCATTTTACATTATATATATAATATCTTTGTTATACAACTTTATTTACTGCCAAAACTCTTTAAGCTGCCAGTATACAGTAAGGTTGACGTCCATTATAAGGAGGTAGTCTGGCTTGAAAAAAGAAAACATTTGTAAGGTAGATGGTGAATTTTGT